AGATAACAAAAGCCAACAGATATGTGGACATCATTGGAGTGGGTTTGTAGACGTCAGCAACCATGTCATTACTCCTGGAAGGAAAAGAAGATATTTGTTAATGTCACATTCATGAGACACCCAGTGAGGAACAAACTCAACAACTTGTGTTCCTAGCATGCTAATTATCTCACTAAAACAAGTGTTGTTAAAGATATTCAAATAATCTATAAACTGTATTGGGGCAAACAGCTTACCATATTTTCTTGCATATAAAGTAATATTAGCTGTTTCCCAAAAAGGAAACATTTAGTATTCATTAACCAAGTAGCCATTACTGTTTTTGGTTCAAATTCATAAAATCTTTTTCTTAAAGCACTTTTTTATGAAAACTGTTTTCTTTAGTCCAGTAGCTGTTATTGCTCTTTCCAGTATTGATGGGGGTTTTCTTACGTTCTAGTTGAAGTGATATGAAATGTTAACATCTTGATTATCTCATTATTTTCTCTTAGAGTTACCTGTGCTATTCATTTTAGTTGTTGCTGCTAGTTGTAATCTTCAAGTGATGTGGTTTCTATTATTTGTTACAGTTCTTTGAAATTCTGGAGCCAGTCCACAATGTCCAAAGCAGGATGAACTTTGCTCTCAAAACCTTTTTTCACCATTGATCTTAGGAAGTGTATGTATACAGCTGACTGTTTAGATATTTCTGAATGGGTTTGGCATGACATACATATGAGTCTCAATCAGACAAGGCTATTTAAGAACATACAACTTGAGTATAATATGACCAACCACTTGTTTCTGAAGTTAAAAACAGGAAATAAATTACATCCTTGAGTATGATACGATCATGTAGTACAGCCATCCCTATGTAAATGTATTTTGAAAAGTTGTACCATTAAAATATCAATATTGTAGATATTTCACTAAAATATTTAATTTTTCATGATATTAATGAATAGAAATGAACTGGATGTTCAACCATTGCTTGTTTCTTGTCTTAATTTCTGTTTCAAAACTTATTTTTGAATTTGCATAGAAAGGTTCTTTGTTGTAACATTAATGCCATCAAAATGTCAGTCCTTGTGTATACCCTTTCCTAATTTTTTTTAATCAATTTTGCAGAATTTCCTGTTTTTGAGACATAAGATATTCAATTATGTTAATTCCCAAAGAATAAATATTACCGATATATTTGTAAATAACTTAGTAAGCCTTTTGTAAATAATTGTTATCAACACCTGCCTACTTTGTGTCTTATTATCTATTGTGCTAAGGCTATCTGTAATCTTACTGCTTGAAATAAGAGGGGTTTTTAAGCTGAATAAAAACTTCTGAAAATGTGTCCTTGTGCATAATTCGTCTCCTCTTTTTTGCCGTTAATTTTGAACTTGTTTGTGCATATATCTTACCATATTTCTTGTACATTGTCTTTTTTCATAAAAAAAAATCAAATAATGTTAATTCCCTGGTTGATTTTATTTGATAGAGGATAATTGAACTTATACAAAGTTAAAACTTTATAGATAATATCATACTGCCAGTTCTATAACTAACTCTACCCAAAGGCATATATTCTGAGCTAATTGCCATGCAAATCTGAAAATTTTATTCACTAATTATCTATTCAATTCTATTTTTATTTATTTATTTTTTCTCTCCCCTACTAATAAGAGCAGACAGGTTTACTTATCATCCATTTTACTCTCCTGGTCTTTTGAACAGTAGAGGTTTATCCTTGTTTCCTGTTTAGAATTGGGTTTCTGGTTTCTTCTAAAATCTATTTCAGCTCTATACTCCTAAAACGTGTCCTTTCCTATGCTAATATAACACAGTAATCATCTACCTTGAGTAGCTCTTGGGCCTTGTTTTAGGTGAACATTAGTAAAAAAAAAAAAAAAAACTGTAAGAAGACAGAGTACCTGGTTGTCAGCAAAAATGACAGCCTAGGGCATAAGTAATGTATTTAGTATGTAAAAAATCATGAAGATGTAGAAATTTAACTATGGAAATTCTAAATTGCAATGCCCTTGACTTAAATCCTCTCTGACACAAATCATTCTGGCAACAGGCCAGATCAGAATATATTAGAGATGAATGCTTCATTTTTTAAATACTTATCTTTCATTTAATCTCATTTTTAAATACATAGGGTGTATTAATAATTTAGAGACCCAGATTTTTTCTCAATATGCAATAAACAACAGGGTCTTTAATGGAAGGGGAGTTTGGGAAATCATTTAAAAGAGTCAAAATTAAAAAAATTAATAAGTTGGCCTTAATAAGCTTGGGGGTGGGGTATCAGAAAATTTCCTTAAAAAAAAAAGAAGAGAAGTTTGTCTCATTTCTATTAAGCACCCAAGTGTCAGTCAGTCAGCTATATGCCATGCATGATACACACAGGCGATCATGTATCTTTCGATACATGTCTGACAAGGCAAATTTTTTTTTCTCGCAGTAGGTTGCCATTTCTTTCTGTGGTAGACTAGACTAGCCATCCAAGACTATAGAACTTGGTTTGTCCTGCTAGTTACCCATAGTTGGGGGGGAAGAAAAGGATTCATACCTTTCCCAAGGGCATTAGCATGTAAGTGAATGTAATGGATGTGACTGGAATTCGAACTCAGCTCTCCAATTCCTCATTCTGAGCTGCTATCCATTACTCCACCGCACATCCTACTGTGTAGTAAGCTTATTAATCCTTCATGTACTAAGCTTATTAACAGAAAACACTATTCTAGACCAAGGAGTCATTTTCATATATCTTTAGGTATCATTTCATTTATAGTAGTCATCAAGGGTTTTCAAGAGGAAAGAGAACAGCTCGACATTACATAAAACTGTGATGATGAAAGAATCTCTTTTTCAAATAAGTAAGATTTTATATTCTTTAATAGATTTGAATGCAAGGTAAGTGACTCAATATCTTTCAAGTACTAATATGATCAAAATATTTACTATTGTCATTTACCCAGATCAATGGACACGAAAAAGACTGGAGGACACAATAGCCGAAATGTTATGAGAAACATTAGTTTGAATGTAAATGATGATAATTCCTTATCCCAGAAATTCAGACGGAAATTGTTGTCACTTTCTTCTAAATAAAATATCAGATTCATAAAGGTTTTATCAAGAATACTGGCTACTGTTTCATTGTCAAGTAAAAATACTTCTTGTTTTCATATAAATTCAATTTTAGATGAATAAGTAGATTCTAATGCAAGAAGGAAAAATGGCAAAACATTTATATAAAAATTAGTTTCTAACTTTACACTTACATTTATATTGAAATTCTTTTTGCTTAATTAGAAAATAATCAGTGAATCAATTTAATGTCTTCTATTTTATTTTTGCTATAACTATCTTATTTTGTTTTCTACAGTAAAATGGCTGAGTTGGAAAGTGAAATGAATGAAAATACACAAACCTATTAAATTGTTTCTCAAGCACCATATTTGAAATTGATGTCAAGTTGGATTTCCTCACAACTGTTACTTGGAAAACTGCCTTGATTCCTGGTTCATCAAAACATGGAAAGGCCCTTCTGGCCATTTTAGGTTCAAAATTAGTAAAAATGATATCCCTGAAAATATAAAATGCAAACAATATTTGATAAGTAAAAGAAAAAATTTCACAGCTGTATAGCTTAATATAAAAATGTAATTTAAATGAATTACAAAGAAAAAAAATAATCATTTGATATGTAAATGTGAAAAAGGTTGTTGTGTTGTGCAATATTCATATGAGTGATCTTAAAGGGAAATTTTAATTTAAAGGGAAAGAGAACGTATTCTGCTTTTGAAATTAAATTAATCATTCACTTGCCAGTAATTTACTATCGCTTGAGGAGACACACTTGTAGTGTTGAAACACAATTACTATTGTGTAGCATTTTTTTAACATATGTTTGTATTAATCTCCTATAATAAATAATATTTAGCTCTACTCTGTATTGAGCCCTCTTTTAAATTAAATGTTCATTTGTTGTTATCTTACCTGGATATGAGATAACAATATATATTTTTATATATCAAGAAGAGTATTAGGGAAATGGAAACTGTATGACAAAGTGAAAAAGTTTACTTGTGATGCGTTTTGCACATCAGGACTTCATCGGAATAAATTTATTATACTGGCAGGTCTACTCATGCACACAACAGAGGGCTGCTGGGAAGTTTTGAATTTTTTTATCTGCCTAAATTTATTTGAAGTCTTTTTTTTTTTTTTTTCATCACTTTTGTAAGTAGGTATTCCACACTATGATATTAGATGATCTACCAGGAATTATGAAATGTTGTAAGAGCCAGGGTGAAAATTTACTGTAGATGACCTTTCGATTAAGGCACTCTCTAGACATTTCCATCATAGTGAATTATTTTCTCCTTTGATCAGAGTAGCATATTTTTATGTCAAAATTATGGTCAGTCTCATTATGGTGGGCAACCAATGCATTTGACATATTATTTTGTAAAATGCCCCCTTTGTGTTCATATAATCCTCTATTTAGTTTCTTTGAGGTTTCTCCTATGTATATTTGTGACAATTATTACAGGTGATGGAGTAAATTCCTCCTTCGGTTTTTAGCTTATTGTTTGATATGGATTAAGTCTTTTATTGTTTTGGATGTAGTAGTGTGACAACATACTCCACTCATCCGTCAATCACTGCACCTGTGAAGGCATCCAAAGTCAGCTGTCTGCATATAGACCAGACTAGCTATGTGCACAGGTATGTCCACTTGGCCATAATTGAATTCACACAGAATAACGACAATTGCTTTTCAAGACTCTCTGGTTGGGAAATAGCAACAATATGAATTCTCACTTAGCTGTCTATGTTTTCCTTCGGTTGAACAGCTATCTCCCTAACTTTCGCTGGTCCCTTCCTCCCTAGTCACCTACCTACTTTCTGACTGACTGCTGGACCCTTTTCTACTTGTATGGATACTGGCTGGGGTCTGACCACCTCTATCTGTCCCTTTGTGTTTTGGAACAAGAGACCACCCATTCAGCATTTTGGGTGGTTAGCTTCTTCAAAGGACTACTTTTATGATTATCTAAAATCATTGACAAAATTTTATGTTTGCCAATTCAAAAGCAGCTGGAGACAGAAATCATGAAAAACTGATACTTAAGTTGACTCAAAGATAGACTGGAAACAAATTTCCCGAAAGCTCTAGGTACTTAATTTGACTTGAAGGAAACGGAATCTATCTACTTATCTCTTAATGATGTGTGAGAAATTGTATTGTTACAGTAGTAACAAATTTTATGTTGAGTTTAGATAGATTCTTTTCAATTGTAGATGTGATAGAATTAGTAGGCAGGATAATATTTTTTTTTTTGATTCATTGGGTTTCTCAGAGGGGCCGTTTTTTTGTTTTGGAATATTTTATGGGCATTTTGTTTTGCATTGAATATAAAATATTTAGGGTACTGGAGAAGTTTGAAAGTGTTTTCAATGTATTATTTCTCCTCTTCATGTAAATAATCCGAGCTGCATATTCTTAGTGCTCTTAGACAGAATCCGATGATTATGCCGGATTCTATTTTGTTGTTATGATGAGAATAGAAATTTATTAGGTCAATTTTGTTGGTTGATTTCCGGTGGACACCGAGTTTTAAACTGTTGTTAATGCAGTGTAGCTTGATATCTAGGAAGGATAAAGAATGTAAAGTCTATTGTATGTTTAGTTGATCTACTAGGTCAGGTAAATCAATATCACAAGGATATATAAGTAGAGTATCATCAATATAATGGAAATATGTTGATTGTTTTGGTAAAATATTTTGGAAAGGACCAAATTTGAGAAATTCTAGGAAGATACATGCCAGCACTCCACTAAGAGGTGATCCCATTGGTAATCCAAATTATTGTTTGTAACAATCATTATTAAATGTGAAGTAGCATTGATTACTTATGAGATGGTGGATTTTTATTATTTTAGCTCTTAGTAGAGAGAGCTTAATCTTCCCATTTCGCCATTCCTGGCAGATCTTCTAATATCACAGTGATGGAAAGAAAAAGAAAAAGATTCTAAATCAATTTGGCTAGATAAAAAAAAAATTCTGAAATTCTCAGCATCCCTGTCATGTGCATGTCTAGTCCTACCGACAAAAGAAATTTATTTTGATGAAGTCCTGAAGGACAAAAAAAACTTTGTCATACAATTTCCCTATATATATATATATATATGTAATAATCCATTGGTATATACCAAGTCAATCCTAATAATATAAAATATTAAAACTGATCCACAAAAAGAGCTCAATTTGTTATAACGGAGCATATAGATTACATAGAATGGAAATCCAAAATTACCTCATTCAAATAGCTATTTCGGTCAACAAAACTTACTTACTGGCTTTGTCAACACAGAGGTGTGAAGAAAAATAGGAACCTAAAATTTAAACATTTAAAGAAGAAGAAGAGAGAAAGAGGAAAGAGAAAAAGAAAGAGAGAAAGAACAAAAAGGAAGCTGCAGATGAGAATATAGACATAGATTTAAACAAACTCATAATATCATGGTAGAAGTGGGAATGACTAGTTCAAGAAGACAGTTAAAATAACCTTGACCTATATTTTAAAATAATAACATCTAAACTTAGGTCAAAACAAAATCACAAAATTAAAAACACAGGTTCAAATAATTTGAAAAATTAAAATAGAAGATAGTAATTATTAGTTCTAAACCAAAAAACAAAAAAAAATTCTTTTTTAAAGAAAAAGACTCCAAAATCTATGCTAGCAAAAAATAGGAAAAAAACATCAATAGATAGTTTATATAAGGAAAAATGCTTAAAAGTATTTAAAAATTTAAGATTTTTTTTTAATTAAAAATTTTTTAAGAAAAAGTAAAAAGGTAACATCTAAAATTAAATATATAATTTTGGATTTCCATTCTATGTAATATATATATATATACAAAATTAAGCAACTTTAAAATTCCTTGTAGGAGATAAAATGGTTAGCTTTCATATAGACCAACTTATAGCAAGAATTAAATTTAGAGTGCATTGTAAGGATTATTTTGTTTCTAGTGTCAAGTTGATGACAACACAAATCAAAAACAAGACAAATTGGTTCTACCTTGTAGTCATTCATCTGTTTTTTATTTCACAAGTTAGAAAATAAATCATTAGTGAAGATATTAGTGAAAGTCAAGGAGGTGAAAATTTGACCTTGTAAAAATATTCAATTCTGTCCACAAAGAAAACTGAAAGATAAAGAAAGCAGATAAAGTGTAAATAAAAAGTCTTATAATCATGAAACTGCTAAAGAGATTTTTACAAAAACTGTTTCTTTTCTTTTTTTTAACCTTAGTTTCTTCTTATGAAGAGTTTTTATACAATGGGAAGTAGATTAGACACAAGAAAACTTAAAGACTTATTTTATTACTTTGACTCGGACTGACTACTTTAGACATTATCTTTTATTTATACATTGTGCATGGACATAGTATTAAACACTAGAATACATGTGGATATTTAACAGAAAAATGCTCATCTCAGTTTGAATGTGTGTTACTTAGAGGGTAAAAAATATTTTAAAAGCTGAATATTTTCAGATAAATAATGTTTTAAATGTGTAAATTTTATCTTTCTCTGTAAATAAGTAAATTAAATTTTAAGTTGATATACACCCAATAGGGATATTGTCTTATTAAAAATTTTCAAAAATTTTTTATTTTGTCTGAAACTGAAATTAATAGATGTTTTAATAACGCATCCACTAAAATTTGAATCTAATTTGTTTGTTTTACCAAATTTTAATTTATATAGATTTTTAAAGTTTTTCTTCATAAATACTACACTAATGGTGGGATGGCCTTGTAGATACTGTCCCTGTTAAAATAATGATAAAACAGTGATATGGGGTATAGCTAGTAAAACTGGGATTTATGAATTTATTCCTTTCATAAAGGATGCTGTACAAAATAAGAAAATGCAATACAAGCCAGAGTATAACATATAAAGATGCTACTTACGATCCACTGCATATTGGCTACAAGTTGTGGGACTCTCAGGAACAGATTTCCTTTTTTCAAGTCTGACCAGGCTACAGACTCGAGAGAGAGAGAGAGATTTCAATTGCTAACTAGAGGTTTCTTATTTGTTATATCATTCATCTAACCAGCTAAGCCTGGTAGATTTTTATTAGGGTTAGTAACTCAACATTCTTCTTGATGAAATAAACCTATTTCTTTAAAACACAGCACCAAGAAACCAATTCTAAATTCTTTTATTGTTCTCACTCTTTAATAATGTTTTTTTTCTTTCATACTCAGTAACCCTCTGTGCATTAGTGGCTTTGTTGCCTTGCTTGGGGTGAAATGATTTTTAAAAAAACGTTTTTTGTGGAATTTGCAATGTTGAATAATTATAAAAGGTTTATACTTAAAAATTCACCCTGGCCCCAAGTAAGAAGACACTTTCTTAAAAACAGGATATCCCCTTATTTGGAAGGCTGACACCAGAAAATTTTAATTCCCACCATTCACAGGCGCTATGGGGCCTGAAAACAAAATTAACCAAAGTTCAGTCCTTCGCTCTCAGGCAGCACCTCCTAGTAGAAAAAGGAATT